TATGTGTGTGTGTTTTTTCTGGATGCCTAAACACCGGACTACTTTATTTCTCCCTGTGTTTACTTCAAGTACATGCCGTAGCATCATTTTTTGTCGCCTTTGTTTGTGTGTTTTTTTACCTACTCTACCTGTGTGTCCTCTTTGAAGGCACAGTTTCCCTCGTCGGGTCTTTCTGCCGCTCACTCAGGCGTGTGTCGTACTCGCCTCTGCTCAGCCTCCCGTCCAGGGCTGCTGCCAAACGGGACTCAGCCGCTGCCTCACAGCCAGTGCTAGATCAAGCGTTCTCCCAGAGATCTGGGCTGCGGCCTCGGTGCCTGCCCGTACACGGCTTTGATTGAAAGGATGTTACCTCGGCCTTTGAGCAAGGGCAGGCGAAGAGCATCTGTCACTCACTGGGGCTGGACTCTGGTCTGGGAGTTACATTTATGTTGGAATAGAACAACAAAATCCTGAACACAGCTGGACGATGACACCCGTGAGGTCTGAGGTGGAATTACACGTCTCAAAACTCCTCGGTGACCTCAGTGGGTTCACGGGGACCAAACCTGTCTTTTATTTTTCTTACGGACAAATCATTAACAGAATGAATCATTTATGGGTGAAAAAAGAGGCGACATGAAAACATTTTCTGGTTGTTTGAGCCGCCGTAATTGGCCTGCGAACCAAAAGTTGGTGAAAACAAGAACAACAAAATCTGAAAGTCAAGGAAAAATCCAAGAGCGCTCGATAAACGGCGCTGCCGTCGGAGGTCACTGAGAATCAAAAACAAAAAGAATAATTGGTGCAGCCCCAACCCAGTGGTCGTGTTTGTTAGCAGAGGTAACTTAAGGTGGGTTTAGTGATTATTTGATTTTCATTATGAATGAAGCACTCTTACCATTTTAATGTGACCGCACAGGAAAATGAACAGAAAATAAACAGTCGGTTCTAAAGCTTTGGGTTGTTTTTTTTTAAACAATTATTTTATTTTTTTCTCATTGCACTTCAATAAGTGTTATTTCCAAAACGGGGAAACCTGTCAAACCTGGCAACACAGCTATAATAAAATAAAGAATGTTGGCTTCATCACATAGACGTGAATAGAAATGAATGATTTTTACAAACGGTGTGCACGAAAATATCCTAATAAAGAAGCACTTGGGTTTTTTTTTTAGATTTTTTTTTGTGATCTAATATTTCCTACTACTCTTCTGCTTGTTACGTTTATAAAAAATAACATTTAAAAACATCTGCTATATTTAATGATAAGATAATTCCTTTACCTTCCATGTCTCTAACCAGCAGAAGAAGTTTTTTTCTAGAAGTTTTCAAAGTCTAATACCAGGGAATGTCTAAAATATTGATGCAGATGCAGTTGTTTTTGTGTTTTTCTTGTGTTTGGCAGAGAGAAGGTTTTTAAACGGACAGACTTAACATTAGTCAAAATAACCTTTGACTAATGTTTAATCGTAGCCTTAAACCTTTACCTCTTTGGTATAAAATGTTGAATAAACATTGACTTTTTTCATCTCAGATTGTGTCTGATTTTCTTTTTTTTTCTTTTTTCTTTTTGACAACTTCAGGGGAGGCTCATGATAAAGACGTCCAGGTTGTGGAGTTGCCCATAGTAGACAGTCTCCATCCCCGGCCCCCGTACCTGCCTCTGGCCATCCCCGAGGATCTGGCTCCACGCCTGCAGCGTCTCCACGGTGACCCTTCAGTTTGGTGGGTGTCCCAGTTTGTCAAGTATCTGGTTCGCCCTCAGGCATGGCTGGAGAAGGAGATCCAGCAGACGACTGCCAAGCTGGGCTTCAAACACCCCATCATTGGGTAAGAACACACAGCTTCAACGTTTCAGAGTTGTTCTCTCTCTCTCTCTCTCTCTCTCTCTCTCGCTCTGTGTCATCTTCCAGGTCTGCCCTCTACTGGTGCGTTAGTAATAATGGCCTTTTTTCTTTAGCGTTTGTCCACGTTTACATTTGCCTTCACAATCGAAGCAAACAGTGAACACACACACACACACACACACACAGCCAGGGCTGAAGTAAATCCAAGGTTAATACAATAGTATTGAAAGTAACGTCGTTTGACGACGCTGAGTTGTCGGGTTAATTCTCTGTTTATTGCTCAGGAGAAGGTCGTCTGTTCATGACTTCAGGCTTCGGCCTCGATGTAACTGATATTCATGCAAAGCAATCTGTTTACAACAACTCGGGTGTGTGTGTGTGTGTGTGTGTGTGTGATATTTTTCCGTGTCTTGATTTGATCACTTCTGTTTACTTTCATTCTACTTATATTCACTAGGAAACAGAAAAAAAACAAACAAAAAAACCAAACCAAAAGTTTTTTTTTTTTTAAGGCACTCGTTGGAACAAACTGCCTTTACACACACACACACACACACACTGGTAATTGAATCATTAATTGTGTCTGTCTGTCAGGGCTTGGTCAACACGACAGAGCGACTTGTTCTCCTCACTCAGACACAAAGTCATTATTTGTCACCTAGCAACAGAGTGGTGGAAAAACTGAAAGAAAATTTCCAAAATAGGATTTGTCCAGACAGAAGAGACAGAAAAGACAGAAGAGACAGAAAAGACAGAATAGACAGAATAGACAGCAACACATCGATGTCTACCTTCTGGAAAGTGCGCAGGCACAGAGGGATGAACGTTCCTCAGTTCTACGGTGGAACAGCGGGAGGACTCCCTAGCTTACTTGCTATCAGCAAAACATCATCTCATAACACAAAGGTTAACCTTCACTTAGAGCACCCTCTGCTGGACAGTGTAACTCAAGACGGCCTCTTAGATTCAGTTTTCTACTGCAGTCGTTCTTCGAACTGTAAATTAAAAAAAATAAAGAACTGATTTTACACACACAGTGACATCCTCTTCCATTATGAGCAGCACAGTCTGTACTCCGTTTTAATTTCACGCCGTGTGTGTCATTAAGGCACCGCAATAATGTTGCGTTATTATTCCACATCGGCAATAACTTAATATGCTAATAGCAACAACATGCTAATTATTTTTTAAATGGAACCATTTATTTGAAACCTCATTTCAATTAAACGCAGCAGCAAAACCCTCCTCCAGGCAGAGTCAGATGAAATACTAACCTGTCGCCGTCAGTATTTATATATATTTACACAGTACATATATACATATACAGTGTATATTTATTTATATAAATATATAAAAATATATATATATGTCCTGTTTATATCCAGTTTACATGATGAACTTTTCCTCTTTTCTTCAGTCAACAGTCACACATTCTCTTAATTGATTATGGATTTTTTGATTTTTTTTTTTTTTCATTTCTCTCAGCCCTAATTAAGTAACGGCTGTGTCAACAGCAAACTTTCTTTCTCAGCAGATAATTCACTGCAGTTGCTTTAACCTATTTGCTGCAGCAGATGGGGGCTGGCAGGAGGGAGGAGGTGGAGGGGGGCATGTGGAGTGACCTTCAGGTGCTTTGCTGAATTGGTCTAAAAAACGTGCGTGTGTGAGAGAGACTGCCAACTCCATCTGCCTGCGGGGGGCAGCGGTGGAGAACAAACGTCGTGGATGATTTTCTGATAGGTGGCGCTGCAGCGTGCGTCCGTGCGCTCAGTAAATCTCACCTCCGCGTGTTTACGTCCCGGTGCCAACTCCTCGGCCTTCATAACTCCTGCTTTTCCTGGGCTTTCATTACACTTGGCCGTAAACCATCAGCACTACTCTTCCTCTCCTGTCAGGTTCCTCTCTGCTGCCCCCTCTGTTCTCCTCACACTCTCTCCACTTTGGTCTTCTCCTCCTTTCCTTTCATTACCGACACGGCTGTCATCTCTCCCTCCTCGTTCTCCTTCACTCTCTTTTTTTTTCTTTTTTATGCCATGACTCATTCTCAACTTTTTTCAAATCACCAAGTCTCTCTCTCTGTCTCTGTCTCTCCTCCTTGGTAGAATGGTAAAAGAAAAGTTTCTTCCCATACCTCTTAAGCACTTTGAGGGAAGGCACTGCGTGTGTGTGTGTGTGTGTGTGTGTGTGTAGAAGGGTGGGGGTCGCAGTAGAGTGGTGTTAAAAGCTCTTCGTGGCCACAGAAAGAGGACAGAGGACGGTGATGGTTGATGGAGAGAGTACCGTGAGGCAGCTTGTCCCCGGAGCACGTCACAATAACCACCAGCTGCCCCCCCACCACCACCACCACGACTCCCCCCACGTGCTTCACCCATCAGCACCTCCACTCTCCCTCGGTGCGTCCCTGAGGACAGGCTGCTCAAAAAAACTGGAAGCCTCGACTAAAAGCTCCATCAACACCGTTTGAAGACAGAGGGAAAAATGTGGACTGATGCTGATGCTAACACTGCTGCTGCTAACACTGCTGCTGCTGCTGCTGCTGCTGCTGCTGGTGGTGGTGGTTCTTTGGCCTCATTATCATCATGGAAATCTTCTCCCCAGGAAATGACGTCACTGTTTCCTGCGTCTTCAGAGACGAGAAGAAAAAAAAACACCCTTGAACCAGCTGAAGTAGTTAACGCTGGTAAATTAAAATTTTCTACCATTGTTAATTTTCTACATTGTACCATTTTTTAATTTTTTAATTTTGGCCTTAGAGCAGACCAGTTTCACCAACTCTTTCAGCCTCATCTCGTCCTATTTATTTTTTTGGCCTTAGAGCCGACCAGTTTTACCAACTCTTTCAGCCTCATCTCGTCCTTCAGGTTTTTTTTACGTCGTCCGTTTTTAGAGTTTGCTTCACATTTGAGTTAACAACAGCACCTAACAGTCGGGTGGAGGCAGGTGCAGAAGGAGAAGGAGAGGGGCAGGAGTGGTGCTGGGGTAACAGAGGCCTTCATCAGACCCTGTCACCCAACCGCTGCAGTCTGCCCCTACTGGTCATAAATCAACACAGTCCTCTTCCCGCCAACCAAGACAAAGTAAGAGGAGATCCGCCACGACACTTTTTGGTGTGGAAGGCGACGCGGTGGCGGCAGCGGCCCTGATTCTAAGACCTGTATGAATATGACACGGCTGTGAGATCCAAGTGCTGATGGATGTTGCAGTTCAAAGGCCTGTGGTGTGGAGGCGCTGCATCAGCAGCTGGCTGCCAGCCGCAGCTTTGAGGTCACTGTCAAACAAATAATTAATTCAATCTATATGCTGTTGTCACAATCTGCCAGAACCAGCAGCGCACCCCTGTGGCCGCGTTTGATGTCTTTAATGTATGCTCTCACGCCCGCCGCGAGGATCGCCCCCCCGCCTGTCGGTACCGCTCCTGCACGGGGAAGGGAATTGAATTACGGTGGCAGGAGCGGAGGAGAAGTGGACGGCGGGTGGAGCGACAGAGGGAGGAGACGGGAAATGTCTCGGCGTGGCCTCTGCTGCTCTGACGGAGGAGAGAAAATGGAAGAAGACAAAGACGTTTCACGGGAACAAAGAACGAAGGAAACAGGAGAGAAGGGACCTGAAAAGGCCGGAGTGAAGACCGGGGTACCGATCTGGGACTGAATGGAACATCATGACACCCCCGACACCTTCGCCCCCACCGCCCCCGTCCAGCCGTCAGTCTCTCCAGTGGTCGTCCATTGATCCCTGGTCGTTGTTAGAAATGAGAAACAGCTTGTTCTGTCTCGTCCTCTGAACCTCTGGTCCTCGTTTCAGTCCCCAGAGAAACTGAACAGTTCTGGGTGGAACCAATGACAGACATTTATTGTTTTTTTTACCTGAAATTATTGACTAGATGTGGCTCAACCTCTGGGTTTGAGTCACTTTCTGAAAGTACTGGTGCCAAACAAAAAAACAAACCAAATGACTCTGAGAGTAAAACAGAATGATTGAGGTTCCTCTGTAAACACAGCCCACACTTCTCCACCAAAATGCCTGTAATCCAGCTCCGGGATTATTCTCTCTGATCCAGGTTTCAATCTGCTCTGACGGTGTTTACTCCGTTTTCCCCCTCACTAAGTGCAGGTTTAGAGAGTTTAGTCTCTTCACAGTAGATTTTTGAATGTTCATTTGCCCGAGGACAGGAGTCACAACGCAGATGTGGCCGAGCAGTTCAGTAATGAAGACGCTGTGGCCAGAATGAAGTCCTGGTTGAAGGATGGTTTGTTTTTGTGTGGAAAGAGGGAAAACTTTCACCGTCTCGTCACTCTATTTTTATTTGATTCCTCAAATATTCCTTCAGTGGCAGCATTTCTCCCTTGTCATTGTTCACTGAATGTAGTGACAAGGACACTCCAGAAAGAGGAAAATAGATTTGGGTTATTTGTCGTGTGTGAATCTTTCCGCCTCTCTGTGTTTCCCGTCTTTTGATTTTGTTTTGGTTTTTTTCTCCTGTCATTGTTCGGCTCGTGTTTGTTCCTGACAATGGGAATATTTCTGTACCTGTGCAGTTAACGCTCAGCTGCCGTCGCTGTTGACGACCGCACTCTGAACGGGAAATAAACGCTGTGAACAATGGGTTTAATGTCCTTGTCAGAACAGGTTCTGTCAGGAGGAATAAAGAACGTCCAGGCTTTCGACGTTCACGACATCGGCTGCTGCGCCGGGATTTTTTTTTCTCCCTTTGTTTCTGTTGTGATTGGGTGTGAATGGTTTGTTGACTCTGTGAGGAGAACAATGATTTGAAAAGGTGTCGACGATGATTTGTTTGATCCGGTGATTGTTCCTCACACGTCTGCTCTGTCTCTGTGTCCCTGTGTCTGCAGCGTCCATGTGAGGAGGACAGACAAGGTGGGGACGGAGGCAGCCTTCCACTCCATAGAGGAGTACATGCTCCACGTGGAGGAGCAGTACCAGCATCTGGCCCGACGTGTGCACGTGGACAAGAAACGAGTTTACCTGGCAACAGATGACCCGTCCCTGCTGCAGGAAGCCAAAACCAAGTGAGTGGAATAAGAACGAAATAAAGATTAGCAAAACATTACTTAGTAAAACAGTATAAGGGTAATATAATATGATATAGAATAATATAAAATTACATTATATGTTATAAAGTAATGTAGTATATATTATGTGTAACATATAACATTCAAGCTAGAAAATGCATTGTCTCTGTGTGAAGTTCCACTGAGGAAGAAGAAGAAGAAGAAGAAGAACTGTGTTTCTGTTGCTGTAAAATCATCGACAGCTTCATTGAATTTACGCTGCTGAAAAATTACAACATCATGTACTTGATTAGCTCTAACGCCGACCAATCAAAGGCCTGATGGAAAAATCACAGCCTGTTAAAACCCACGTCCATCCAGTCTGTCGGTGGAGTGTGTACTGTGTAGTAATCCTGTGTAATACTCACCAGGTATCCGGACTACGAGTTCATCAGCGACAACTCCATCTCCTGGTCAGCAGGTCTTCACAACCGCTACACGGAGAACTCCCTGAGAGGAGTCATCCTGGACATCTACTTCCTGTCCCAGACCGACTTCCTGGTCTGCACCTTCTCCTCACAGGTCTGACCAAGAACGCAGTACATCAAACCACAGCTCGGTGATGAAAGTACAGCAGCTCAGGTTCAGGGAGGAGACAGGAGGATGAGGAGGAAGAGGAGGAGGAGGAATTTTTTATTCACGGGAGGCAGGTTTGGTCCATAAGACAGGAGAACATCAGGGAGAGGAGCAGAGAGGAACTCCCACTTTACAGTGTATATTCTAACTACAGGTACAGGTAACTACAAGAAGTACTGAACAGGTATTTACAGTATTTAAACTATAGATATATTTGTCCAGAAGACATCACACGTTTGCAAATTCTTTTAGGTCAAACTTCCAGACTAAACCAAATGACTTTGTTTTATTTTTTATTCACTCGTTCAACTGAGGATTTTGATGTGAAACGTACAAATACCTCGACCTCTGATGACCTGGAGGAAGAACTTAAATCCACTGTAGTTTTCTTCCCCAGATTTCAGCAGCAGCTCGTTCACTGTATTAAATCTTGTGTTTTATTTTTAGAACGTTGCCGGTGTGAATAAATTGTGCATTTGCACCTTGTCAGAGCGACGGGTTTTTCCAGGAAGTGTGAGAAAAAAAAACTGTAAACTGTAAAGTGAAAACGAGTTTTTTTTTCAAACTGAACTGAAACAGAGAGGAGTACGAGGAAGAAGAAGGAATTACAGCGTATGCAGATGACACTCTTTTAAATTAATGAGTAACAAAACTACAGCAAGTTTAATAACTTTTAATTTTTTTTTTTTATTTTTTAAATATAATTAGCTTCTCCCTCCTCACACTAGTGTTTGTCGTACGTTGTTCAGATCATTCAAACCTGCAGTGCAGTTTTATTCACCTTAAAAACAAAATGTCCAATGAAAATCCAAACTTGCCGACGCTAACATAAACCTGTTAAACCACTGTAACAGTTGTATCGATGGTTCATTTCCAACGTTAACATTAACAGTTTATATTTTACAGCCCAGCGATTTTTTTAAGTGGAAAAAACATTGCAATGGAACAACAAACAAAAATCAGTTTTATTCACCTTAAAAACAAAATGTCCAATGAAAATCCAAACTTCCTTTTATCTGGTTTTGGCCCATCCTGAAGTCCTCTGGTGCCCCCTTGGGGCAGGTGTGAGACCCTTTGAAACCCCCTGGTTATTCAGACTACCTGTGTCTAAAAGTGGAAATGTTTGTGTTTGTGTTTGTCTCAGGTCTGCCGTGTAGCCTACGAGATCATGCAGACGCTGCACCCCGACGCCTCCTCCTACTTCTACTCCCTGGACGACATCTACTACTTCGGAGGTCAAAACGCCCACAACCAGATCGCCATCTACCCGCACCAGCCCAGGAACAACGAGGACATTCCCCTGGAGCCCGGCGACATGATCGGCGTGGCGGGCAACCACTGGGACGGCTACTCCAAAGGCATCAACCGCAAACTGGGCCGCACCGGCCTCTACCCGTCCTACAAGGTGAAGGAGAAAATCGAGACTGTGAAGTATCCCATGTATCCTGAGGCAGACAAACTGCTCAACTCTCAGAAGAAGTAAAAAAAAAAAGGAGAAATGCTGTAAAAAAAATTACAACAAAAAAAACCCAACATAAAAACGATTCAGATGATTGAAGACGAAGGAGCGAGGAGGAACCTGCAGACGCCGTTTCCGAGGGAAGGAGGCGGCTTTTGTACAGAAGACGATGAAGACGATGAAGATGATGAAGAAGAAGAAGAGAGACAAACTCAGTGAGTTCAGCTGAGAGGAGAGAAAAAATCCTGTACCGAGGACTGATGGGAAGAGAATGCACTCTGTGTGTTAATGTGTGACACTGAACGTGTGTGTGTGAGAGACAGTGTGCGTGTGTGTTTGTGCACTTGTGTAAATGCCTGTGCGTCCGTCAGGTCACAGCAGACTTGCACCCTGGACCACTACTCCCTCCCCCTGACGCCGCGACGCCGGGGTCTGTAGAGACGTTAGACGTGAACAATGACTTTAAGTAAAGAAGAAGAAAAAAAAACAAAAACAATAATAATGGAAAAATAATCCTAACCCATTCAAACCAAAAAGGTAACAAAACCTAATTATGGAAAAATCTGGATATAAAAACATTTAATCAAATTGGAATACTAAGAATTTAAAACCAAAAAGGCAATAAAACCTAATAATGGTAAAATCTGGACATAAAAACATTTAATAAAATTGGAATCCTAATAATTTTCTTTTAAGTTTTAACCCTACCCCAGTCCTGCCCTAACCCTAATCCTAAACCTAACCCTAACCCCAACCCTAACCCTAACCCTAACCCTA